TTCCCTACCTTATCACGGATCTGTTTCTCAATTCTGATTGGTCTTTTTTCTTCAATTATTTCTCGTTTGCAATTATTACCCACTAATAATTATTATTTTAATAATCTCCGATAATTGTCTTTGTCTTTGTCTTTATAAGTGGAGTAATTAATCAGCACTGTTTCGGCTTTGAATTATCTATCTATTGGCTTTCATTAAACAAAAACAATTTTTGGTTTGACAATAAGATAAGAATAAAATAAATTTGTTTTAGAAAGAGCAGTTTCTAGTATTTTTCTGGAACTTTCTGTGACTGGTGGCGAGTCACTGAGTCACATGAATACTTTATGACAGCTTGGCTTTCTAAGAAAAGCAAATCATATTCACAGAACTTTTGAATGCCACTTGGTTTTTTTGTTTTTTTTGTTTTTTTTTTTTTAATGCCAAAAGGCTGGAGCCTTTTCTTAACTTGACCTTTTAAGAGCTGCGCTTCCAAACTTTTTGCAGTTTTAGCCAGCAAGAATCATGGATCCAATTAGTTGGTTGTTACCGGATTGGCTGTTAAGCTGCCTTGAAAGAAAAGTAGGGAATTTTTTTTATATATATATATTTTTTTATATTTTAATGCAAGACCGGATTGATCCCTTTACTTAAGTTTTGCTCTATCTTATTACATCCCTTTACTTAAGTTTTGCTCTATCTTATTACATGTTGTTTGATTTAGTGGTCATAATCGTTAGATAATCTTTTCTTTCTTTTCTTGTTTTGAGAACATGATTAGAGGTGTCAAACGTGTCGTGCTGGGCCGGCACGACACGTCCGACCTCAGGTTCGTGACGGGGCCTGAGCCGTGCCTGGCACGACCCTGCACAGTGCAGGGCCGGGCCTGAGGAGAAAATCTCAGGCTTGGTCCTAGCCCGCGACCCTAGTCCATAAGGGCCAGGGCCGGGCTGGCCCTGGCCCTTATAATTTCTTTTTTTCAAAATTTAATTAAAAAAAAAATATATATCATATGCTCCTAAAAAATGTGATTTTATAGAATTGAGATTATACAAATACATACACATAAATGATTGCCTCGTTAAAAACCTTGGTAAGTAAAATCTGTGGGGAGATCGGGACAAAACCTTAACGAAAGAAAAAAGAGTGCAGTTTTTCAGGAATAGTAAATTACAAAACCTAAGTGCTTCTAGAAGATTCTGTTATTTTTAAGTTAGAAAAATAGTCTTGCATTGAATCATCCGTGTATTGTTGTTTTCGTCCTTTGACATCTTCCCAGTCTTTAATGCACCTTAGCCCCTCCAAGATATATGGATGCATTATGCTTCTCTTCTCGTCAAGAATTCGGTTACTTGCACTAAATTTGTACTCCGATGCTACCGTTGACACTAGAGTTGTCAGAATGTCACGAGCTATTACGGACAGTGTTAGAAAACTATCGGTCTTGCTCTTCCACCACTATAAGATGTCCAGTTTGTCGTCATCGATTACCAAATTTACTTCAAAATATTTTACCAGTTTGGTAGACTCTTGTGTTGATGACGATCCTGCTGTTTTCTCTTTCTTGTTCAAGAAACTCCACGACGAGCCTTTTGGCCCCGAACTGCTAGTTGACGTCGAAGTTTCCTGTTCTTTTTACCTGTGCTGTATTTTGCTTCATACAAATCAAATACCTTTTCGAACATTTTCCTAGCGTTAGTAATAGTTAGTTGCATATCAATACCTAAATTTTCTGCTGTAGCAGTCACATCTACTCCGCACCTAGGATCTAACATGGTTGCTAATGCATATAACATAGGACAACCTGACCAATAACTTTTAAATTTAGTTTCCATTAGCTTAACTATGTTTCTAAAAAGTATTGTATCCCTATAATAAGAAAATCTTTCTGAAATATTAAATAGTTGATGTAAAGCTAAATGTGCAGTAGGATAATAAACTCCGGAAAGTAATGCAGTAGCATTGTAAAAAACTTCTAGAAATTAAAAAAAAATACTCACCAATCTGCTAATATGTATTGAAAATTAAAAGTTGATCGTTTTTACTGTTTACATACGTTGTGATGAGCTGTGAATACGGGAGTACATCCTTCAACATTAAATAGGTGGAATTCTACCTTTGTCTCACGTTAGTTGGAAACTTTTTTGATATTGTTCCTACAATATTGTTTGAATTCTTGGAGCCGAACTCCAGAACTAGATATGAAGTATAAAGATTCTCAAATAGATTAGCTGAAATAGGTTCAATTTATGCCGTTGATGAAAAATTTTTCCCCCAAACGCTCGTTTCAAACTACGTTTAAACATGTTAATTGTAGCCGTGTTAGTTGACACATTATCAAAAGTAATACTTAAAACTTTATCTTCCATCCTATAAAACCTAAAAATTTCCATTATTGTACCAAAAATAGCTGATGCGTTATGAGGATATGGACATAAACGAAAACCTATTATTCTTTTTTGTAAAACCCATTCATCATCAACATAATGCACCGTGACGCATAAATATCCAATTTTATTGCACCCCTCCCATAGATCAGAAGTACAAGATACAGTAGCATTAAAAGTCCTAAAATTATCAATAAGAGATTGAACGAGTTGTGTTTCTACTTACCCGTTTAACTTGCGGGCATAAGGCCGTCTGTATAAATTTTTCAAACGACGCATCATATGCAAAAGAAAGAGGTAATTCGGCACTAGCTAGAAATTTAGCTAGTGCCTCACGAGCACGTTGTACATCGTATGTAAAATTTTGCAACTCTTGTGATGTGAGTGATAGTGTTCGTTGGCGGGAGTCCACACTCCCACCTTGGTGCAACGGTAGACATACATTCTAATGTCTATTCAGATGACCAGTACCCCCATATTTTTTTATTAGAAAAGTACTTTTTACAATACTTACATACCACACACATTTTCATTTCACATGTTTTTGGATTTGGTCGGGGCTCCTCTGTGAAATGCTGCCATGCAGGAGAAGTTCGCGGTCTTTTTCTCCTGGTGCATTCTTCAACTTCCTCATTGTACACTGAAGCAATATCAACCAGAGCATTTTCTGGTTCAATGGGGGTGGGGTTGAGAGGCATCATTTCATCCTCGAAAAATGGCTCATCACCACGCTCAGGAAGAGCAGTGAAATCAAGGAAGTTTGATGCGGCAATTTTCTGGAAATTGATTGAACTTAAACTTTGTAAATAAAAGAGCAAGAAAATGAGTGATCGCGAGAAAAAAGCTTAGAATCAAAATCAAAGAGACAAGATGAGAGATAGAATAAGAGTGAGATGAGAAGTTGAGAGTGAATTGTTGTGTGGGATTTAAGGTGGAATTAAAGGGTATTTATAGGGGATTTTTGGGGTTTTTCAGATTGTGACCGTTGGACCCTTCATGGGCCTAACGGAATGCCTGTCACGGGCCGACCGTTGGGCCCGCAAAGGGCCTAACGATCACAATCAGAATGGGCTGGAGGGCTTTTTCGCGGGCTGTTTCGCGGGTCTGGGACGAGCTGAACAAGGGCCGTATCCGGGCTTAGGCCGAACTGGGCTTCGGTCGGGCCGTGGGCCTTCACGGGCTTGGGCCGTGGGCTGAGAAGCCGATGCCCAGCCCTAGCCGATTAAATGTGCCGGGCTGGCACGGCCGGTAACAATACCGTACTGGGCCGTGCCGAACCCGGTACTGTTACGGGCTGGGCCGGGCCGTCCATGGATAGCCCGGCCCATTTGACACCACTAAACATGATCATAATTTTTGTTTATTCGAGCTCGTCCCCTCTTCTTCATCACGTCTGCTCTATTAGAGTCTTGTGCGACACATCTAAAGATGTCTGAATTGTTTTGTGGACAGTGCGATGAGCTATGTGTGTGGTGTACATATGTTGGTTCGACGAATTGTGATGACTTATTGGTGTGTTTTTCATGTTTAGCTTTTACATCTGATGGATTTGTTTCTTGATAGTTTTTTTGTGTGGCCTTAGTGCTATGGGATTCTTGACATCAGTTGATTCGACATTTCTATCAAATGTAGGGGATCTATTAAAGAGTTTTATGTATGCTCAACATTAAGTGTAACTCTATAGGGAGTCTATTTGTAAAGGTTGGTACACACTATTTTTCATTAAGCGTTTCATTCGAGTCTACATGTAGAACCAGTTGTTTTCCGGTGTCATATTTCTTGTAGTAGGAGGCTATGTGAGTGTGTGTTGATTTTTGTATTGCCATTTTCAAGTTATGGAACATATTTTCCCCAAAAAAAAAAAAAAAAATTATAATGCCCTCTGGAAAAAAGAGGGTATGCAACTACAATCAGGGGAAAAAAAAGTCTAGGTGGCTTAGTGTCATAATTTAGTACAAGAGATTATTATTTAGCAAAAAAAAAAAGAAAATTAGTACAGGAGGTTATTAAGTGACATATCATACAAAATCCAGGGGAAAAAAATATAATTCAAAAATTATATTTGTGAGTTACACAACTAGTGGAGATAGATGAGTTACACAATTAGAGGCACAACACAATATAATTAGGATACCCAATAATTACATAAAAATATTAGCATAAATATGATATAGCATAAAATTAATTAAAGACGAACCCCACAATATAATTAGGATACCCAATAATTACATAAAAATATTAGCATTTGATTTTCATATTATAAATACGGAACAATATACCACAAATTGCCCGTTTAAACTTGGGAAGTACTCTATTAATTGCTTGATTGCTTCCTTAATAGTTAATATATAAGAATCCCATAGTTGCGGACATGACTAGTTGACCAACATTTGTGGACGAAAATGCAATTTATTTAGTAACACTTTGTATTTAGGTTTAAGAATGGTGCTTGTTAGTCTTTCTTTTTGAAGGTATATTATGATTTTAATTTGAAACATTACAATTGAAGGTTATATATGCGAGTAATATCCAAGTTAAGCATGTGATCATCCCCTTCA